CCCCCCCGGCCCCCCGCGGCCTCCCGGTCTGTAACGGGGCCGGGGGGAGCCGCTGTGGTAACGGCCGGTCTGTATCCACTCAGGATCACCATCAACAAGGACACGAAGGTGCCCAACGCCTGCCTGTTCACCATCAACAAGGAGGATCACACGCTGGGGAACATCATCAAGTCGTGAGCTAAGGCCGGGGGGGTGTGTGTGTGTGTAAATTTTGGGAGGGGATTAGGGCTTTTTTTTTTCACCTTGGGAAGTTTAGTCCCGTTGTGATAGGTGTTGTCAGGGTAAAGCAATTCTGCCTTTAAAAGTGAAGGGATTGCCTCCACGAACGGGTTTGTAACGCCCTGTTTGAAAGTGTGTTGGGAAAACCCATCATCAGAAACATGGCTTTTAAATTTTTTTTTAATATAAAAAGCACTTGTATTTGTGCTGCGTGGTTGTTCACTGCTGCTTTTCCGTTCCAGGCAGTTACTGAAAGACCCCCAGGTGTTATTTGCAGGGTACAAGGTCCCGCACCCGCTGGAACACAAAATTATCATCCGGGTCCAAACCACCCCGGATTACAGCCCCCAGGAAGCTTTCACCAACGCCATCACGGATTTGATCAGCGAGCTTTCCCTCCTGGAAGAGAGGTTCAGGGTAAGTTTGTTTCTTTTTTCTTCTTTAAAGTAATTCAGCTTCTTGCAATTAAAAGTGAAACAAAGGGAGGGGTAGTCTATCTTGGAGCCGCTATTTTAAGTCATTGAAGCCATGCAGCATTGTGATACTTGGCTTCTGTCAAGGCGTGGTGGAGCCTGCCTGCTCTTAACGGTTCAGTGGCCACTCTGTAATTCCCTAGATGGCCGGCATTGGTTTTCTCACAGTCTTATTAGTGTAGAAAGTAATTTTCTGTTCTTCTAAGTAAGTGTGGGGTTTGTTTTTTTTTCTTTACTTCTCCTGCCAAATGTCTGGGACAGTACTTTTTCTTTTTTTTTTTTTTTGACCACTTGTCATTGCTTTCTGCTCAACTGTGCCGCTGTATTTATTATGTATTCAGCCCCTGATTTTTGAGACTTAATCCGCCTGAAAGCTTATTCAGACAAAACCAGGGGGTTTATGAACAGGATACTGTCTGTGTAGCATTCTCTGATGTGCTGGTAAAAGGTAACAGTGCACAACTTTTGTAAATATGTTTATATTTTAATTTAAGTATTATTTTTCTGGATGGTGTAGAGATTTCCACTGAAGGTTTGTAGCTCTTCCTGTGTTTCACAGAAGACTGTTATGAATGTTTAAACTAACCTTCTCCAGCTCAGCAACGGTTCTTCTCTTAGCATATGTATGTTTGTGTTTTACAGGTTGCTATTAAAGACAAACAAGAAGGAATTGAGTAAAATCACCCCATTTAGAGTGGACTGTGCTTCTGAGGCAGAATGACATGTCTGTTTGTTAGCTGAATGCTATATTTAAACTTCCATTCATGGCAAATATTTTCCCCCTTCTCCCACTTATGTTTAATTTTTGACAGCAGCAGTGACATTCTGAGGTGATTTTTTTTTTTCTACTAGACAGGCACTTTGCCAAGAGGATAAATGTCTTGTTTGATTTGATGGATAAAACTCATTAAAATTATTTCTACTTTTCCAATTGTAGCCTTAAGGCAAATATTTGTACTGGACTGTTGGCGAGTTTATTGTGAGTGTACTGCCAGCATGAGAAGCTGCTGAGTGACAGTGGTAGATGAACTCTGCTTTTCCTTTTCAAAAAGTCTAGGCACTCTCAACCGAACTGGTATTTTGTTTTATTAAGTGTCATTTCTATAAAACAAATGCACAAATTGTGAAAACTTACAGTAAAAGAAACCGGATGTTTACAATGACTTAATGAGTTTAACAAACTCTTTCCTTTTTTTTTTTTTTTTTTTTTTTTTTTTCTCTTGCACGTAATAGCTGGTCTAGAAAACTTCATGATTACATGGGTAACAGTCACTAATACTGCACTATTTCAAAGCACGGGAATGAAACTCTGTTACAAGGAACTATGACTTCTTCCAAATTGCTGTTATGTTCACACTAGTTAGAACAACAAGGTAAGTAAAAGTAGGGTCTGATACCACATTGTTTATTAGGACTTCAGTCAGCTGCTCCCTGTTCGCTCGAAGCTCTGGCCACTTGAGAATCTACGAGGAGAACAGACTTTGGGTAGGAAAGGCACAGTGGTATTGTCTCTGAAAATGGGAGGTTATTAATTACTGCAAGGCCTGGTTTGATGATTGGGTTGCTGTGGAATCCGCTTCCCTACCAACCTGGGGAAGCTGAATGAAAAGGTTCTTCCCCTTTCGGAGGGAAATGGTGCAACTTTATGGTACTCCTCCTAAAGGAGCAGGGTTTAATGCAGAGGGACTTGATCAGAAAGGAAAAAGTGAAAGCAGCTGGAGCTGACTGTTGACTTGGGCAATATGCTTGCAGAAAGTTTATGGAATGCTAGGTCATGTCATGCCTATATATAATGTAGCTCAAGACCAGGCTCTGGAGTGAGAGCCTTTGCACGTGTGTGCCTTCATCACACAAGGGAACAGTAACTGCCCAAAAGAGGACTATCACTGGAGGCCAGGGATGTATCAAACCAAAGAAAAAAGGGTGGCATGAACTTGCAGCAGCAGTGAGCCCTTTCCTGTGTACAGTTCTGCCAGGAACAGCCACTCTGGCTTCCCTCCCCTTGGCCTGCCAGAGAAATGGCATCTGCATGCTTCTAGTGTCAGGCTTTCCAGTTTGAGCACTAATTTTTTACCGAGGGCCCTTCTGCTAGGAAAAGTTGCCAAGCTGTGGAACGCAGGAGCAAACAGCCCTGCTTTACAGCTCCTAATTCCTGTCACAGTTGTGTTTGTGTGAGATTTGAAAGATGGCCTTGGTCACGCTCTGGAGACGATTGCTTTTAATTGCTTGTGAGTGTTAGGTAGAGAAAACACTAGGCATGTTCTGGTGCAAATCTGCTCAGGCAACTCAGGACAGCTGCAGGGGGAGCGGACGGGAGGTCTGCTCAGCCCCAGCAGGTAAATGAGACCTACCTGTGTGGGAGGGATCTTCTTGTCTGAGCGTTTTCCCTTTGCAGAGCTCCATGCTGCGGTGTAGTTTGAGAGGTTGTACATCCACACACTTCCCATCTCATCACCACAGAACACGTAGTCTTTTGCTGTAAGACCAAAAGAAGCAGCTGGAAAACGTGTGGAACCGAGAGTCCATTCTGCTATAAAGCAGAGCTCAAGACATGCTGTAGGATCCCAGGGGAGGATGTCTTATTTCAGCAAAACCTCTTTCCGGCACAAATATATCCATCATCTACCTTGCTCTGAAAAAACTCAATTAATTTAAAGACAAATCAGCTATCTTACTCTAGTAGACAAAAGCTAGTGATAAGTGTTTTGGGATTTCTTTTTAGACTTTTTTTGGTTTTGGGAAGTGGTGACCAGGTCAGGTTTGACTATTCCTTGTTAGTATTAAAAGCCAGCTGCCCATCATGTGGTGTTCCTATCTCTTACTTTAGATGCACTAAGCATTAAAATGGCTCCAGAAAAGCTACAGGGCCAAGCCATCAGCTCTGTGAGCTTTAGAGAGCTGTACAAGGAAGACTGTGTTGGTAATGTAATCAGTCCACGTAACGCTGTAAAACCTCAGTTCCCCCTTGTATGGCAGATGGTATAGCTGTAATTATTTGTTACTTATTTATATACAGCTGGTGCTGGGCTGTTGCTGCCCAGTGCTGGAGCTGTGGTGCAGGGACTCGAGGGCTGGTGTTGCTTGCTCGCTGATGGGGGCTGAAATCCAGGCCTCTGCCTCGAACTACAGGCTCTTCTGATGGGTGAAAGGGGAGGCAGGCACAACTGTTCAAAGCAAATCTTGACCCACGTGGCCGTCTCTGCTGCAGTGACTGGCACAGCCTTGCTGCTCACCCCGAGGAGGGGTGCTGCCTACCTGGGCAGGTGCTGAGCGTCAGGTAGGACAGGTCTGTCATAGACCACTCCAGCTCAGCTAGAATAACGGCAGATAGCGTTCGCTGGCATCCTTTTCCCTTTGTGTCAAAAGACCGACTCCAGCTCCATAAGTATATGCATCCTGGTTTAGAGCTCTTGGAAGCTAGGGAAGAAAGACAGGAGAGGCTGTGTCAGTTGCAGAGAAGTGAAATGCCTCAAGACAAAGGCTGGCCTCTGGTGAAGGTTGTCCATCCAGAAGGTGGCTTTTAAGACGTGGGACCAACAGCAACTGTTTCCATCTCCTTTACCTTATTTCAGGATAACTGGAGGCTGCAGAGGGATGTTCAGTCCCATGCTTATGTTCCTGAACTGTAGAACAAGCATAAGCTATTCAGAAAGACCCAGCTCATGCTTTAAGCATGCTCCCAGATGTGGGAACCCCCATTTCCCCTGCAAAAAACTACTGCTGCCACCAGCCCTTGAGCAGAAAGGGGCTCTCCTCCCTTCTGCTTCGGCACTGCTTGGCCAAGCGTGCTCTCGGGGATGGGTCCGTCTGATTTCCAGTCTTGCTCAGACATGGGTTAGCACCTCTAGGCCACATTTCAAGGAAAGCTAAATGGCTCTGGGAGACAACTCCATTCTGTGTAGCCCCCAAAAATCGAAGAGGTAGTCACACCCCATTCAGTCCCTCTGCTCATCATGCTGGCTTCAGCCTGCCGCATGCTGAGGTGCCTGACTGTTTTTCTGCATTGGGCTATTGTGTTCATACTCACCAATGACATCATCATTCAGAAAAGCCAAACCATCAACCCTGTGAGATGTTGTAATGCCTCCATCCTCATCAGGAAACTGGAATATGGCTTCAAAAGGCCTAGAGTAGGGAGAAGGGTGAAATGAGTCAAGTCCTGAATGGGCAGCAGTGGAAGGGCACTTGGGTACAGAACCCGAAAGGAAATTCATGTGTTAGTGAGTCTCCCGACAAACTCAGATGAATTCTCACTTGAACTTACGTTTTTGGCCACCTGGATTTATTAATACAGCAGAAGCCTGTTTGCTTAAGAGACTGCTGTTTTACTTCATCTGGTTTTGTAGGCATCGGGATTAGTCAGCAGGGCATGACTTTGCTTGCTTCGTTCTTGTAATTTTTTTCTGTGCTCCCATAAAACTCACATACCAGAAGCAGGGTAGGCCTTGCTGTGAGACTGGAACTCGATCCAAGAATTTACACTCTCTTACGCCACTTCAAGATGATACGCCCTTAAGTTTCAGGGTATTGTACTGCACTCATGTCAGCCTCCCTTCAAAGCAGCCTGCAACACTTGTAGACTGGAGCATCAGTACAAGCTCAGGGCTGTGAGCTTTGAACACTCCTTTAGCATTATGCTAGTATTTTTTTTCTTGTCACTATGTGAAGGGCAATATGTTTTAAGTTTGGTAGGACATGCTGCTTTCTTGACCAGACCTCCTTGGTTAGAAATAAAGCCTTTGCTAGGACTGCCTTTTCTTGTTATGGGAAACAAATGCATGCCCCCAACTTTTGGTTCTCACCTGCTTTTTTGTTCCTTATCCAGTTTTATATTCCAGGCAAAGCAGCCGCTTTCACAGCCAGCCAGCAGGTACTGATCTGGGCAGGTGGGGACTGGGGCAATCCGTAATGGAATAGAGATCGCTTCCAGCACCAGCAGCTGGCTAAAAAAAAAAAAGGCAAAAAAAACCAGTTAAGTGGTGCTGCAATGTGATAGTTATAGGCTCCTGGACTGGCCACATCTGTTTTTTGAACCTTTACCTTGCTTTGAAATTGTAGTCACAGTCTGGAATCCCAATATCCCAGAGTGCAATTCGCTTGTCATAGGATGCAGCTGTGGGACACAGAAGAGAAGCAGGTAGTGACACCGCTGCTCATCTGGCTCTTCTCGTGCTAGCTGGCAATTCTACCTGTGTCACAGGCTGTAACACTCTAAGCCTGTGGCATCAGAGAGCTCATTAAAGCACAGCAGCAGTCACAGAGGCTCCTGGCTCAACACCACAGACATTGTCAAACATGCACGGTCAGTAATTTGCATTCTCATCCTGTGCTCTGAGAGGAGCAGATAAAATAAAGTTTGTTTCCTGGTGTCCATTACTAAGTTGTGGCTTCACAAGGTCACTAATTAGTGCCCCTTTGAGCTCATGTTTCTGGTTGTGGGTTCTAGCGGAATCTACAGTACAAGGCCCAGCCTCTACTCTTAGGCAGACACCACTTTATTCCACATGTCCACAGCTTACTGTGTTCACATCCGCAGCAGCTCTCATTGGGAAAGTCAGGCACTGATATAAAGTGTGAAAGACACTTAATGTCCTTTGTCACCAAGCTGATGTACTGATAGCAGAAACAATCCTAATCAGATGGCATCCCTCAAACTCAGAGTAAATGGGTTAGTGTCCAGTCCCCAAACAGGCATGCAAAGACTCTCACTTTATTACTATAAATTTTTCTATGTAATGTAATGAGCCCTGCTGTCCACACCATTATATGGGTGTGCCATCAACCTCCTTACCCCTCTAGGCATCTGCTTTTTGCACTCTTGAGCTGCTTCTTGAAAAGTATTCACTACAGATACCTGTGTTTTAAAAAAATTCCACTTTTAATGGTTCATGTAGCACTCTAACCACTCCAGGATGTGGGCAATTGTAGGCAAGAAAAACAATGTGCTGTGGGGGGCAGGTGTGGTCTGAAAGGGTCTGTAACAGCTTATTTTACAGGCCTGACAATGCAGCTGCAATTTGTAATATGATGGTTCATTTCTTACCATAAGCCTCTCTGGGCCCTACTGTGGCAAAGCTCTCTTCTACATCAGGACCTGAATAAAGACTTCTGACGAGGCACAGAACTCAAAATAATTTTCATTTATTCAAAAGCAATTAAGCGCATAGTTTTGCTCGTTGGAAAAAATGAAATCCAACAGCCCATTATACGCTGCATTGCCCCTGTTGCCATGCTTGATGAGAGTCCTGCCAGCTGACCGCTTGCTGCCTGGCCCCCAGCAGGCTGCTCTGGTTATCATTCTTCTTACTCATCCCTGCGGAACGGATCCACTACTGGCCTTGTTTGTGGCTAATGCGTGCGTGACAGCCACCCTGAGAGCTACTGAGAGGGAAATGCGAGCTGCTGCACCTCAGCTAAAGAGTCAGGCTTTGTGGCTGAAACAATTTGTACCTTGTGTAGATGACTGCCATATGACACTAACAATACTCTCTCCATAACGTCTGTCCATGCTCTTTGTGCGTGTGTGCGGTCCCTACCTCCACCTGCTTGCACTGGGGACAATTCCCCTTGTTAAGGAAGCCCAGCCTTTTCTACATTAGGTACTAAAGCTAAAGAGATTCTGAACCAGAGACTTACTGAAGAGGTGAGTTTCTCGAGTTGGGCTGAAGCAGACAGTAGCTATGGGCTTTTTATGAGCCTTTATCTCTCCATAGCAGAAGTCAGCCGCCACATGAATCAGCTTGACAATCCCTCTCCTCCCAGCAGCTGCCAAGATATTATGAGATTTTTTCCGACTGTCGCTGATTACCATTGTGAGGGTTGTCCATGCAACACTGAAAAACTCCTAGGATAGAGAGAAACCAAGAATAGCGTGAAAGAGAACAGCCAGCAGGATGGCTGTTAGCTCAGAGATGAGACAACTATCACAAGAACTATTCAGGTGAATGACACAACTATTCGAGCTGGAGCATCGAATCTCAAAACAACCCTCAGAAGAACATAAACTATCAAAACAGGATGTTTATTCCTCTATGCCATCAAGCAGTCTTAGCAGCCTGGATACACATACGTATGCCTGTGTGAGGAGAAGACGGGCAGACTTATCTTTTAAACTAAGATTAAAAAAAAAAAATCAAACCGGGCTAAAAGGATAAGCAAGAAATATTTACTATCTTCATCCTTTTAAGACCTGTCCAAGCTAATGCTTGAAACCCTTTCAGAACTCTTTGTAATGTATATAATATATACATGTATGTAATTATAACAGATTATGGTATTTCCATTTAATGCTTACTCTTCCCACTTGCAACCTACCTCTGTAGCCACCTTATACTTTTTCAGCACCGTCCCTGTCTCACAATCAATCAGACAGACAGATTCCCCTCCACATGTTGCCACGGTTCTGGAGGAGCTCACAATGGGATCTGAAAGATTGAAAGAAGAGGTGAGAAGTTCCCAGGTTCACGAATAACACATGAAGACTGCAGCTTATCACTGCCTGGTGCTCTCCCAGTCTCCTGTTTTCAAAGTCAAAGAAGGAGTATGTAAGCAAGTCTCATTCCTGACAATGGAGACTACAGCTTGAAGGAGCAGGGGTCTAACGCATGGAGTCCGCTGGGATTCCAGAGCCAGGTGGTTCTGGGAATCCTGCAAACCTCTTTAAGAGCTCACCTTTCCTGGCTCCACAGTCTAGCAATGGCTCGAAGACACAGGACCAGAGCTGCGTTTTAAAATCCTCGCGGCTGTTGCCTTTACTGTGACACTGAAGAAAATGCAATGGCTCTGCACTGACATCCTCCTACAATAAACCATCCACATTTAGAAAATTCATTCCCCTGACAGCGGTTTGCCTGTGATTGCCTTGACAGAACCCTCTACTGAACACAGCAATTTGAGTTAAACTGAAGTATTTTTCAGCCCTTCTGTGCTACAGGGAACAGGAGAGACTGAGGTGCCACCAATGCTCAAGACTCCTAAACCAGCAGTCAGCTGTTTAGAAAAGAAGTGCCCAGCAGACCCCAGCAGTGAACCCCATTTCCTGCTGCAGAGAAATGTGAAAAAACCTTTAGATCCCCACTGGTCTGAGCTGAGGGGGAAACACCTTTCCCCATGCAGCCACCAGTTTGACCTGAGAGCAAGTCATGCCAGTTCCATTTCTAAGAACAGGCTTTCTTTCAGTGCACCACCTCAGAGCGCTGGTCCATCCATCCCCTGCAGGGGATTCACTGTCTCCGGGGGGGGGGGCCTTCCCTGATGGCTCTGAGAGATTTAAAACAACAGAAAACAAAACAAAACAAAACAAAAACCGTAACTCACAATATATCTGGCCAATTATGAGCTCCAACCTGTGTAGAGCTCTGATGAAATCTGAATGCGGCTCCTCCCACTAAACCAAGAGGCCGAAAGCCAGTCCCAAAGGGGCTGATGAACATACCTTGCCCTTGGAGTTCTTCACTGGAGTCAAGCTAACAACTCCGTTGTCCTGCTCCTGGCTTTTCTGTTCCCCTGTCAGCTGGCCAGATCTTCTGTTGCTTTGCCCCTTGGGACACTGCTCTCCATTCTTATGAGTACCTTCAGCTCCCTGCTCAGGGGTTGCCTCTTTGGCTGACTGGTTCGATGTTCTTGGTTTATCAGGAGCTGGGTCATCCTGCACATGACTGGACTTTCTGGGATTAACTACAGCCTCCTCCTCAGTCTTTGCCTGGGACTTGGATCTCTTGTTTCCAGACCCCGATTTTGAATTATTTCTTTTCCTCTTCCTGGGCATTATCGTGACCTATAAAGCATGTTGTCAGTTTCTGCAGGTTTCTAGCTTCTCTGAGTTGTGCAGATGATTTGTCAGTCAGAGATATTAATTATTCAAATGCAAGTACCCTCCCACGATTATAGACTGGATTCCAAATATCAGACAGCACAGAGCTGCAGAGTTCCTAGAGGCAGAAGCTAATGAAAATCACATAGCCAGCCTCATTTTCATCTCCCTTCCCTTGTCCTAGTTACTTACAATTTACATACGATGTGGAAAAACAAATCTGGCCCATGGACCGAGGGGGTTTAATTGGCAGCCATGTCAAAGAAGGCAAGCACCATCACAGTCTGGCCATGCATCAGCCCAGTTCTCTCATAAAAATATCCCTTCCTCAAAGGATAGGTGGACTCAGTAGGACTATACTTATGAAATCTTTTGGGTGTCATATGAGAATGGAAGTGCTCTCCTCTTGGAGAGCAATTGTACCTTCGCATTGCTGGGAAAGCTTCAATCTGGCCATAAAGAACAAGCCTCAGCTGCTGAATACAGGCTGCAGCCTGAGACTGCCCCTACGGTTACCAAAGGGTCATAAATGTAAACTGACAAGTGCTACTGAATTCATAAGAAATAAAAAGAACATTGTTAATGTAACTGGAAAAATCACCTACCTGACCCACGTCCTCTGCAGCTTCCCTGGGGCTCTCTGTACTTTCTTCCTCATTTTCATCCATCTTTTCCTCTAGTTCAGGATCTGTGTTTAACTCCAGACCCAGTGAGTATGCCAGAAACTCTTCTGCAATCATTTTCACCTTAGGAACAAATATGTGGATATATAAAAAAAACAAACCCAAAAGACAAAAAGCAACAGCAGTCAAACTCTGATGTGTAATGACAAGAGCTGCTTTGCTGAGTTTTTAGTATCTGCTTCCACTATTCTACGTGAATTTCACAAGAGATGGATGAGTCGTCAGCTGAGAGCCTGGCAGGCCAAATCCTCCCTTACATGACCCAAGAACTTCACTTTGTCATGGGCATCCAGGGTACACATTTGCAAAAACAACAGCACAGCAATGAAACAAGACAAAGGAGAGATGGAAGCCTCAATGGTATGTATGCACATACAATTAAAACATATGTTACAAACTAAATGCTATCTTTCCCCGCTGGGAGTAACTACAGTTCTGTCATTATCTTTTCTCCTTTCATACAGCTTCCATCAAGACCAAAGGTTGCCATTAGAGTTATCTGCAAATAATTAAGTACTAAGGATACTGCAGTCTCGTTAATTAGTACAAGTATCGTTATTGCTTATGAATTAAAAAACAATGTTTAATGGCAGTCGTTGCAACTTGGTGCACGTTTAGTCCTAGTGCTTCTCTAACTGCTTAACAAAGCAGTGAAGAAAACCATAAAAAGTGATATCACCTGTCTGCAAGAGCCCTGATACCCTGAACCCAAATCCACAGAGCTTTTTAATCAAATCCATTTCAGAATCAGGCTGCAGAGTCCTTGCCTGAAGAACAGAAGGGTAAGTGAAATGTAACCTACCCGCCAGCGGGTGAATTCACTGAGTGAGCTGGGTCCATATACTACATTGGTTTGTACTGACTTCAGGAACTTTTTCTTGATGGACTTCACTTGCTCAGCTGTATATTTCTCAGGAAGTTGGTCACGGAAGAATTTTTCCCAGTGAGCAGTAACCTAGGCAGAAAGACTGAGTTTATCCAACAGAATACTACAGAAAACCAGAGCAGAAAAGCACAAGAGTACTTGTGAAAGCATTTAAGAAGTTGCCAACCCTTAGGATCTGCTAGCTAAACGATGGCACTGCTTCCATTTATTTTATCAGTGTTCAAACTATGACTTCAGCTAACAAGAAACCCAGTTCCTCTGAACCAACTTCAAGTGAGTGTGGCTAAGCAGATACCATCAACATGAACCCAGAGCAATGCCTGATTTCATGCCTCTGGATCCATAGCAAATCATCTTAAGGAGTCTTGCGCTGTGCCCTACTAACAGGGAGCACCTGACAGGTAACTAATTTATTATAACAGGCATGGCATAACGGGCATGTATGAATTTTCTTGTAGTTCAAGTGTGTGCGTGAGCAGGACTGCTGCATGTGTCATCCCCATTTATAAAGATGCTTTGACTCCAAAAGGCTTCCGAACTATGGGCACAATCATGCAGACGCTCATCTATCAGCACAGTTTCCCATCTGAGAGTTTCTGGTGGGTAGTAACACATCCAAAAGCATTCGGACCCAAGAGACATTTTACATTTAGACACACAGCAGTAAGAACTGGGCAGCCAGGTACAAAGCAATACCATCAGGGAAAAGTATCTGAGTATCTGGGGCACAGGCACCAGCACAAAATGAACAGCACGGGGGAGCATTTGGTGTCTCATTAAACAGCAAACCATGCCCAGTTGCCTGGAGAATAAGAGGCTGAGCAGCCCTCGCCAAGACCCTTTGAGGTACAAAGTATTACACAGATAACACTTTGCACAATAAGCCATCCCAGTCTTCAGTATTTGATCTCTCCACCACTGCTACACAGAAGGAATTAACAAAATCAACTAACTAGAATACAAATGCTAAGAGCAGTACTGTACAACCCCCCCCCCTTTTTCATAATAGAACAATAATTTTGCTCAAGATCACAACATGCTTTGTGGGGACAATCTGTAGGAGCTAAACTGTGTACATAAATGAGTGAAAATACAGTTGCAAACATGCACAGCTGAAGAAGAACAAACAAATCCTTGTTCCTGGTGTATGCTGGAAAAAGCAAGATTATCCTGAGCTTGGTTTTGTGCTCCCCATGCCTGCGGCCAGGACAGTAATGTAAATTAGATGAGGAGGTATATGCAGCTGTTATGTCAGCACTAGGCTTCTCCCATTTTTTAATGATGATTGGAGTGACCTGAAAAAACAGAGGGTCACACACAGACCTTGTTGGCCCTGCTCCTGTGATTTAAACTGAAGGCAGAAGTTGGCTATACAGAACAGGCAGAGCAAATGCAAGCAGTGACCAGAGAAAGCAGCAGTAAGACATTTACTAGGTGGCCAAAACCACAGGCTGTGCTTAGATCATACCAGAATTATTGTTAACCATTTGATGCTTGTTTGCAACTCTGTCATTAAACTGAGCACAGTATTTAGTTACTTCTAAGGTGTTTAGAGATTAAGAAAATATCACACATCTTACCTTGCTGGTGAGCTTACGACTATTGACACGCCTCACATGATTAGCCAGTTTGGTTATATCCTTGCCATTGAGTAGCCGAAGATTTTGCAAAAGAAACATTACTTTATAGTCATCGTTGAGCTAGAAAGATAAGGCATCAGAGTTACAAAAATTGTATGCATGGTACTTGCTTTAGCTTTAGTCCTTTATTAAAATATAGCCAAGGATGAGAAGAATATATTTAGTCAGGAAAAGTAATTTCATGAAATCTTCTCAGCATTTCCGACTCGAATATCACCTTTTAGTTGTAAATTATCCTTCTCCTATGAGTTGGGATCTTAAACTGCAGACAGAAGACCTGCCTTGCACTTAAGCAGTACTAACATCCAACACAAGGTGGTGGCGGTGTAACCAGGCTCATCAGCTCCGGCCCGAGTGCAATGCAGGGTATTCTGTTCACATCCTTTAACTCTGAGTGAGCATCTAATACAGAGGAAGGCCTGCCCTGCCTACAGTAAACGAATACCAGCAGGGATTCTGTGGGTCAGGTGTGTTTTAGGTCAGACCAGTTCCCCAATCCAGTTTACCATACAGCCGCACATATACTTCTGCCAGCACGTAACAGCAACTAGCATCTGGGTCCGGGATGGTGGCTGATGCCAGTTTAAAGCACAAGTAAAATTACAGTTTCAGATGCTCAAACTGCACAGTCAGCAGAGCCTCTTGGGAGAATTCAGAAAACCAAAACTAGACTAATCACCAAGTTTAACCCCTCATCAGATGACCAAATCTGCTCTTCCAGAGTACACGGGGCACTAAAACTAACATCTAAGAAGGACATTTCTACACAGTCATTACTATATTTTACACAAGCATGAGCATAAGATATCCTGCCTGATAAGCTAACTAAGATGGGACTCTGGCCTGGAGAATCAGCAGTTCAAGATACCTAGATTTTAATATCTGAGTGGTCTTGGGCAAGTCACTTCTGCAGATTGGGAAATAGTGGCACAAATTGGTGAAGGGGCACAAAAAGACTGGCTGCTTTCTCAGACGCCCTAACACTTGCTGCCTAAGAACAACATACAAGAACTAGGCACAACTGCTGTTTGTTTCCCCCTCTATTTAATGCTCAGCTTCTAAGGATGGGAGGTAACTCACTGTCAAGTACACATTGTTCTCGTAGGTTAGCTCCTCGAGCAGAGGGAACTGTTTCAGAGCAGTTACATCTTCTAGTTTGTTGTTGTTGCAGTTTAGGACACGCAGATCAGGCAGGGTTAGACTGTTGGGAAATTTGTCCAGTAAATTATCAGAGAGATCTAGTTTCTGCAGATGCCTCAGACGGGAAAACAAACGTGGATCTAAGTCTCCAGTCTTCAACTGCAGCTTGGACAGGCTGAAAACAAAAGAGAACACGAACTATCTGCAGTTCATTGGAAAAACAAGTGCTGACTTTCACAGGATACAAGGTCCCACCTGGTGGCACCTCTCAGTCTAGCACAACTCACTGGGTAAATCTGACCAAACTTGTGTTTTCTTGTCTGCAGTATTCTGGACTGCAAGCACACATACCTGGAAAAGATGCTGTGTCTGAGCTAACAGACACCATCAGAGACGCAAGACTACCAAAGTATTTGCAGTGCAGTTAACCTGCAATCCCGATAAACCTCCTATGGATAACAGAGCTGGCCGTGAGCAGTGAATCGCCGGAAAAGTTCTTGCTCATATTAAAAATTACTACACCTCTAAGAACGTTGGTATTTTATTCCTTTGCAACGTAAATTCAACAAAACAAGCTGCGGCAATACAAGACACTTATTCACTACACCGTCAGTCTAACCTGTCCACAGAATGCCCTAGATTCATTATTTCACCCATTTTTTTGAAATCACCATCTCACAACTGGTGTAAGCAACATAAGACTACGGTGATTCCAAAATGCTAGTCCTGTCCTCCCCCTCCTTCATGCTGACACCTGCATTCACACAACAACATAGCAAATTTGATCAGTTTGCTGATCTGGTTCAAAACTTTTCTTCTCTGCATTAGAAGTTAAGTTCAGGCCAAGTGCAGAGTAGGTCCCCATATCATTTGGCTGTTTTCAAAGAACTAACTGCACAAAAAGGTGATTCTTCCATTTCTTTTACAGTGAATTTTACTGCAAAATCTTCCCATGGCAAATATGGAAATCTACCTAACAAAATCCCAAGGCTGCCACCAAAACAGAAGCAATCTGTCCTGAAAGAGGAAGAGGGGCAATATTTGTGAGGGGAAAAAACCACTCCTTCTCCCTAAGAAAGTGAAAACTGCATATTATAAGAAGAGTCATTTAGATTTGATTACATCATTTAGTTGAGCTCCAAAGAGAGTTTCTAGTCCTGACAGCCGACATCTCTTGAGGATACAAGCCTGAGTTCCTTTAACAAACAGAATCTCCATCTCTAATGATTAGTTAAAAAAAGGCCTTCTAAATATAAATGAAGTGTGAATAAATAAGGTAAATAAAATTAGGAAACAAGATCACTCCTCCTTCACTTGTCATCTCAGAAGCCTAACCAGCCAGTCAAAGCATGTAAGAAAGGTTCAACAGAATTCAGCTGGCTGCAAAGCATAGTGCGACTACTGTGTCATTTTGGGGAGAAACTCAACACAGTGTTCCCCAAACGGACTTTCTGAAATATAACCCTTCAAAATCATGGTACGAAGCCGCATGGAAGAAGCCACACTCTAGAAATTCACTACTTCAAACATTTCAACATCACTTTGTTACCCAGATTACTGCAGCTTATACTCCTCAGATAAACTTTTGATTTCTCCCTAAAAACATTTAGCACAAGACAAACCAAAAGAAATAACTTTAAAGAGTACATATGAAACCCAAAACTCTTACATCAGCAACAAAAACAACAAAGGTGCCAGCCAGAAATTGGCTAGCTGAGTCACTCAGATTGACCAGTTCTGTAATAGCGAAATTCCACTGTATTAAACATTTGGAAAGACACATATTTTCAATGACCTCTGTTAAGGATCTGAGCATCAAAACTGTTTTTACTGGTTTCTAATTGTGTCAGAGTTTATTATCCCTCTCTGCAATGTTTGAGGTACTAATATAATTAGGTTTAGAAGAGATGGAAAGTGATGGAGGGAGAGGAAAAGGGAGGGGAAATAATGCCAAAAATATTTTTAAAACCCTCTGAAATCTAGGCCAAAGAGATTCTCTTATTCACATTAAGCAATTACTAGCAAAGACAGAAGTGGTTTGGGGGTAGGGAGTATATCTTAGGGTTAGGAAATCAGGATCCAGCCTTAAGCAGTTTTACAGAAAGAAGGTGGCAGCATATATACAATATAAATGGTGAAAAGAGGTGCTAACTGCTGATAACCTATCTAGTGAATGCAGTTCCACTAGTGCTCACTGGTCCTGCATTGAGAATGCCATCTCCTGTTCTGTGCTTTGTAACCGTCTCTCTTTTTTCAGTAAAAATGCTTAGGGGAAGAAAGACAAAAAAAGGGATCGCCTAGGCTGAATTCAGCTGGAATTTTCCATGGGCCTGTCTGCACTTACTTCAGCGTCTCGATCTTTCGGAGCCTCGTAGATCTTGGAACCGCTCTTTCCAAAAGAAGTTCTGTAGTAATTTTTGACATTTTTAATCTCCACCCCTCTGCTGGAATCACTAGTCAGTCAGCTGTAAGACCTCTTCTCGTAACCTTCCTGGTAAAACAAACAGGCATAAGAGGAAATCCTTTCAACTGACTCCAAAAGGGGAAAAAAAAAGAGTTAGGAGGTTAGCTACTGATTTTGCTGCTGTGTTTGAAGTCGCCTTTTTTACACAGTTGAAATGAAAATACTAGAGATTGTTATTACACTGGGCACACACTCTCAACACGCTGACCCAACCCATCTCCAAAACAACAGCCTTGGCTGTTACCTCCCTTGGCTATTAATGCGACAGACTTGCTGTAGATGAAAGCTGTCCACGGGGTGACAGCACTCGGGACTAGGACAGTCTCGCAGTTACCTGTTTGTACCTCTCCTGCGCAACAGGGCTCTGCTCCAAGAACTCTGACACATTTTCAAATAAACAGCCACAGTAAGAATAAATACACCTGTTGTGAATGTCTTACTCCCAAGAAAGTGACACAGGGCGCTCAATGGCCTGACCAGATGGATAGACTCTTGGCTGACAACTTCTAAATTCCCTAAAATTTTCAAAAACCCATTAATTAATTACCAGAAATGTAAATACCCACCGACCAGTAACATTCCCTCACCAAGGAAAAAAATCAACAGCATTCTGTATGTTATTGGTAATTAACAGATGTTTTCATTCGTTGTTGTGGATAGGATAGTGCCTGCACACGCATGGATACACTGATATTTAGAATAAGAACACTGATAGGGCCAAAGTAGCTTCAGGAAATTACTAGTTCGTGGCTCACCACCCCTTCTGACACAGATTCCAAGAGAGGGAAATAAAAGAGAAAAGAGCTCCAAGGCCAGGCTTGCTACTGTCTTTTTGTGTTAGTCTCACTGCTGCCTAACACCACTCCAATAAATCACGAAGAACACGCAAGGCACTAAGCTGTCCTTAGGCTTGACTTCAGCACCGTAACGTGCCTACAGCACCCGGACCGTCGGGTTTGATGAGCGATGGGGCATTGCTTTGTTAACACCTGTACTTAAGGTCAAGCCTTCACGTATGGAGTATTTTATACCAGCATAAAGAGCACTGAGCCTGAAAAACAGCTGGAACAGCAGCCGTTCAGGATTTGATCCTTCAAGCGACAGAGCTGTCCCTGAAAGCCAAACCACAGGATTAGGCCCCTACCTGCTGAACCTAATAAACCTCCCTAAGCTCTAGTATCTATAAGAAAAATTTCAGACCAGCGACTGTGGATGTTCCCATCACCCTCTCTTTGACCACCCCGACACCTCAGACCACCCCGGGAGCAGCAGGGCAGACCACGACGTAACACGGCCCCATCACCACAACATCACAGGTGACGCTGCAGAAGGCACGTTCAATTACCCGGGGGGGCCTGACGAACCCCGTAACCCAGCCTAACTGGGAACCGCCACCAGAAGCGGCCGCTGGCCCTCCTCCTGCCCCCCAGCAGCACCTCTCGGGGTCCGCAGTCCTACAGCAGGGCGTCGGTTCAGGCCGGACTAAGGCAGCAGAAATTAAAACGAGTTTAGTTGTAACTACTCCGCACCAGCCGGACCACCGCCTCGCCTAAACCGAGGCGAGCCCGGCCCAACTGGCGCCGCACGACGCCACCACCGCCATGCTGGGGATGACGACGACGACGACGGCCTGTCAGCCCATCCAGGGGCGGCTTCCCGGGTGCGGGGCGGCCCCGACGGCCCCTCAAGACGACGGCAGCCCCAGGGCCGTGCCCGGGACCGCCGGGGCACGGGCTGCTGGGC